TCACTAAAACATGCTGTGGGTTTGGGAAGCGCCCAGATACTAGCTCCCCAAAGACAATAACCAGGGGGATAATCAACACCTGGGCAGGCGGGTGTCAAACAACCATCAACAGCCATTGTCCAGTAAGGGACCTACAATGCAATGACTCACTTGCATAAGGCCACACCAGGGGAATTGCTCAACCTTGCCTGGTGACTCAGCAGTGCCCACCAGACATGTCTGGACTTGTGCTCTCCAAGCACATGGACTAAGGGTATAAAACAGAACATAGTGGTCCCATGCTTTGTCCTTTCTCTTCTCCTCCACCTATTCTGAAGGCAATGAGAATGCTGGAGCTGAAGAGACTGGTCCCCAGACTACCAAGGAAAAGCCTGTGTATAAAAGACTGTAACCAACCTGCAATATCCAGTGGGGTGAGAAAAACTGCTTAATCTAGATGTTGCCCAGTCTAATAGGGTTGAGAATTTTGACTGTGTGCTTACATTTTATTTTAGTTTGAAAGCTACTCTAACTTTTTGCTTATCACTTATGATCACTTAAATTCCATCTTTTGTAATCAGTAAACTTATTCTAATATTTATCCTTACCAGGGAGTTTGCCTGAAGTGTTTGGTAAATCTGGTCCGGTTACAAAGCCTGGTGTATATCCACTTTCCATTGATGAAGAGGTGAACCAATTAATAAATTTGCATTGCCCAAGAGAGGGTCTCGAGCATTGCAAGGCGGTATATTCCTGAGGTACTAGGATGGGAGCTGAAGGAATCTGGCTGGTGCCTTTCTCTGTATGATTTGTGAGCGGCTCTGGGAGCATTCATGCAATCTAGCTGGGTGTGGGGCTCCACATGCAGTTGTACTGAGTGACAACAGCACCTGGAGGGCTTTGCTGCTTGTCACCAGTAAAACATTGTGAGAAACAATCCAGATTAGTGAGTGAAGGGAGCACAGAGGTCGCACAGTCCCAGGGTGCACCCCGGGGATCCAGTCACAAGCAGCTTCCCTGAGTTTGTCTTCAGTGGCGTGTCTGTCTGCCTGGCTTTGGCTGGGATCCCGAGGCTCCGCGCTCCCCACGGCTGCCCATGCCACTGGGTTCCCAGCAGGGTCAGGGACCACCTGCCCTGAGCAGGTGGATTAGTGCTCCCAGCTCTGGCTTTCTGGTGGAGCAGAGCAGCTGGACCCAGACACCAGGGTGGCTGGCTGGGGCTAGGAGGAGCCCTGGAGTGCGGGGAGCATGTGTGGTGCAGGTGGCAGATGCAGGGCATGGGCCCAGGGCAGGGTTTTTAGTGGGTCGTTTTAGCTCTGGGTCTGTGTGGATCCCTGACACCCCTTCACTGGTCTCTGAAGAATGAACTGCCAGGGCCAGAAAATCTGCCCCTGCTCGGCCGAGGGGCAGCGTGGGGTAACAAGATGGGTGGAAAACAATCCCTGGCTGAGATCTCCAAAGCACCTTGGCCATTTGGACGTATGATTCCCATTCAGATACCTGGGAACCAGGCATCCAGCCCCCCGGCAGCTCGGGAACCTCCAGCCCTGCCTGGAGCGAGGACACAGCGGCGTTGTAATGGGACAGGGAAGCAGCAAACACTCTCCCCCTGCTCACACAGCCCCCCCAACGCTTTGTCTGGCTGCTTCTGCCTGTGCGCTGGCAGCTGTGTGGGCTCCAGTAGCTGAGTCTCCTGTGCTGAGGCCCAGCGGCTGCGGGGCCAGGCCCTGATGTTGTCAGCCCAGGGCATTGAAATTGGAAGGAACAATTCTAGAGAGAAAAGACTGGGGAAGATTTTCCAGGCCCAAATGGCAGCCGGGTGCCCAGCTCCCCCAGACAGACTAGAGAGACGCGGGTTGTTATCCTGATGTGTAACAGCGATAAACCCAGGGGAGTTGGTGCCCAGCTCAGGCCTAGGGGTGGGCCAAACCCCCAACTCTGAGCCCAGGAGCTGGGTGCAAATCCAGACTCTTTGTCGGTCGCCAGGCAAAAAGCTCTGTGAAGATGAAGTTCAAGGTGAGGGGAGGTGCCTGTCCCTACGGGGTAAGAAATATCCCATGGCCGTTGCCAGGATCCCCACAGCACGTGTTGCAGATCCCAGAGACTTCCCATCCCCATGACACTGAAAAGAAACACAAACCCATTCAGCCAGGAAACGCAGAGCATGGTCCCCAAATGCCCTTAACTCGGCCTGGGGCCGGCACAGGATCTTACCATTCAGACAGAGGTGCCCAACTCCCACTTCCAGCTCTGACGTCCCATGTTCAGGCTCCCCTGGCATTACCCAAACCCCACTCAGCTGTTGCTGAGCCCTGTGAGTTCCCTGTCAGGGTCCCTACAGCACCTCCATTTCTGCCCCAGGCCTTGGGTGACGGGCTGGGTCACAGAGACCCCTGAGGACTGTCACCTGATGTGCTGAAATGACCTCTGAGCCCGTTTTCCCTGCCAGCTTGGGACTTCAGAACCCTGCCTTGTTGAGCCAGACACGCCAGCTGACTGCAAGACAGACCCAGATCTGAACCACGTCCCCCAAAGCTGCGGGCTTTAACTGAAAACGACTTAGCAGGTACTCCTGTCTCCAGTATCCAGATACCCAATTCAAGCCTAAACCCCGAATAAATCTGTTTTACTCTGTATAAAGCCTATACAGGGCAAACTCATAAGTTGTCTGCCCTCTATAACACTGATAGAGAGGTATGCACAGCTGTTTGCTCCCCCAGGTATTAATTACTTACTCTGGGTTAATTAATAAACAAAAGTGATTTTATTAAGCATAAAAAGTAGGATTTAAGTGGTTCCAAGTAATAACAAACAGAACAAAGTAAGTTACCAAGCAAAATAAAACAAAACACACAAGTCTAAGCCTAATACATTAAGAAACTGGGCCCAATCCTTTCCCCTGGTGCAGTCCTTGTTAGTGTCAGCTCAGGTGGTAACTAGGGGATTTCTCATGACTGGACTCTCCTTTGTTCTGTTCCACCCCCTTATATAGCTTTGGCACAAGGCGGGAATCCTTTGTCTCTCTGGGTCCCCACCCCTCCTTCTAAATGGAAAAGCACCAGGCTTAAGATGGATTCCATGGTCACATGTCCTGTGAGACCCCAAGCCTTCATTCTTCCCAGCCTGACTCACAGGAAGGTTTGCAAGTAAACAGAGCCATCTACAGTCAATTGTTCTGGTTAATGGGAGCCATCAAGATTCCAAACCACCATTAACGGTCCACACTTTGCATAATTACAGTAGGACCTCAGAGTTATATTTCATATTTCTAGTTTCAGATACAAGAATGATACATTTATACAAATAGGATGACAACACTCAGTAGATTATAAGCTTTGTAATAATACCTTACAAGAGACTTTTTGCATGAAGCATAATCCAGTTCCATTATATTCACACTCATTAGCATATTTTCATCAAATCATATGGAGTGCAACTTCACATCCTCCAGGCTCTCAGCCCCACATCCGGCCCCGGGGGAGGCTCCAAGCCGCTGTCCCGATGCCGGATCCAGTGGCTGTGCTCTGAGCTCCGGCTGTCTCCTTATGGCTTGTACCCCAGGGGTTCGAGCCCCCTGGGGGCCATGGTCCCCTCCATCTTCTCTGGGTCCAGGGGCCCCTTCCATCCTCTTTGGGTCCTGCCCCCCTGTGTCCAGGGGTCCCCCCCCACACCCGGTCTGGGCTCATCCCCTTGATTTGGGGCTTCATCCCTGCAGAGTCTCCCCTCCCTGGACGTCAATTCTCCAGCTGGCCCAGCGGCGGCGAGGTGACATGGGGCCCCGAGAGCAGCATCTGGAGCAATGTTCCCTCTAATTTTTTACATGCATGTGTGGAATCAATTTTGTTATGGGCAGCAATATGGAGGTGACGTGTGGTGGGGGGGTGGGGCCCAGGGGTTCATAGTGTGGGAGGAGGCTCAGGGCTGGGGCAGAGGGTTGGGGGGTGCAAGGCTCTGGCAGGGGGTGCAAGCTCTGGGAGGAACTCCAAATCCCCCTGGAGACCCCTCTCCCCTGGGAATGGGGGCAGCTCCCAGAGAACCTGCCCCACTGAACCCCAGCCCCATGAGACCCCCCCCAACATTTCCCTGGGGTGGGGGGTGACAGACAGGGACCCCGACCTTCTCCCCTGTCTCTAACTGTGACCCCAAGCCCCACCTGTCACCTCTTCCCCAGCCCCCGGAGACACTAACCCGCCCAACTGCTGTGGGCACCTTTCTGAGAGCTCCCTCCTGACCCCCCCATGTCGCCTCGGGCTGCAGGGCGCCCCCCAGAGCTGAGCGTAGCACCTAGCACTGCCCCCCAGCTCTACAGAGGTGCCCACCCCCAGCTCCTGCCTGCCACGCCCTGCTCATACCCCCAGGGACACTGGCTTTTTGGCCCAGTCCTATTCTGAGCTCCCCCAAAGCCCCCATCACCTGCTCCCCAGCTCCCAGCCCCTCTCCAAGCACCCCCTTTGGCCCCCCATCAGCTGCCCCCAGAGCCCCCTGCCCCTCTCTGAGGGTCTCCCCCCGGGAAGTTCAGGAACAGCCTCCTCAAGCGAGCCGAGGGGCAGAGAATCCTTCCCAGGGGCTGGCTGGGGGGGGGGGGTCTTGCCCCCATGCTCGGGGCTCACAGACCCCCCACATGTGGGGTGGGGAAGAGATTTCCCCCAGCATCAGATTGGCAGAGACTCTGGGGTTCATCCCCCTCAGCAGCCGGGGCACTTGCTGGTTTGAACTGGAGTAACTAGGGGGGCTCTGGGACCTGACGTCTGTAAGTCAGGGTTTGGGGGCGTTGGTGACTCAGCCCCAGGGGCTGGAGCTGTCACATGGGGGTGGGGGGCTGGGGCCAGATGAGATGATCAGGATGATTCCTTCTGGCCTGAAAGTCTCTGAGTTTATTCTCCCTGGCCCCATTCCCTTCTGAGTGGCTCCTGCAACCTCCCGTGGCTCCCCCAGCCCCTCTCCGAGCCCCCGAGACACCCTGCTGCTGCCCCCAGTACCTGGCGTGGGTGCCCGTCCCGGCAGGGGCTACAGTAAATGGCTCATAGAGGCGCCAAGATCTTGGTGCCCCCCGGGTCAGCCTGGAGCTGCTGGATGCGCTGCAGGGACTCGGCCATGGTCTGTTGGGTGTATCCCACGCCCTGCCTGCGGGGGGCGCCGAGGGGTCAGGGACCGGGACAGCAGAAGCGAGGGACACCCCGACCCCAGCCAGCCCTGCCCCCAACCCAGGGACACCACAACCCCAGCCTGCCCTGCCCCCAACCATCCCCCTCCCTGTGCTGCCCCTCTGACTCACAGGTAGAAGGACTTGAACTGAGACCCAAAGCTGTAGATGTTGAAATAACAGCCCAGAGACAAAATCTTCAACAGCAGGATCAGGGTCTCCTGGGGCTGGACAGGTGGACAGAATCACCAGGCAGCCTGCCCCTCCCTCCCTCCCCCCCGGCTCTGCCCCATGGGCCCAGCCAGCCTGTTCTGCTCCCCCCTGCCGGCTTTGCACCACGGGCCCATCCAGCCTAGGCTGCTCCCCCCCCAGCTCTGCACCCTGCTTCCCCCAGCTCTGCCCCACGGGCCCAGCCAGTCTGGACTGCTCAATCCCCAGCCATCTGTTAACCCATAAACAAATCTAGTCCTCTCCTGTGAACCATTGTTGTTTCCCTACAAGAAACCCCTCTCCACACTCAACTGTGTTCTGATGCATGGATCCAAACTCTGCATCAGTCCCACTGGGATTTCATCTTCTCCTGACTGATTGTGCTGGGGGCTCTGCCTGTCTCCAGCACTCAGGACCCTGATTTACCACCATCACCTGGGAACCCCGACCAGTTCAAGCTTCATGGAGTGGTGAGATCCCTCCCTCTCTCTCAGGTGTAACTTTCTAACCCTGATTTGTTTGATCAGGTCTAGTTTTCTATATATGACTTTTGTAACCTTTAATAATGTAACTGTTAAGTTGGTTTAGGCTCCTTGTGCAGTTATCACTATTATTCAATAAATAACTTTTATGGTTAAGCTGGTTGCTTCCCTCTCTGAACTTTACTCTTTTGTGTTTTTAGCTTCCCCATTTACTCTACAGCAACGCTCCTCGTACCTAAGCTAAAGATCCCTGCAGCGCCCCAAAATACTGTGGGGTTTGCTCATCAAGTGGGTTACTACCAGTACAAGTGTGACGTGAAAGTGGGGATAGGGACATGCTGAACCTGTGACATAGGAGGGTGGCAGCCTGGAAGTGCTGCTTGACCTGGTCCACTCAGACTTGCTCTGTTAATGTGTGTGTGTTCGTTCATCCGGTTCTGGGGCTGGAGGACCCCAGCCCTGGGAACCTAGGTTCTGCAGGGGACTTGCAGAAGGGAGAAGTAGAGCTCCATATGAAAACACAAGTGACACAAGCAGACCTTTGATAGAATTACAGAAACCCCCCCCCCACCTGAAATGTAACCCTAATAAATGAGCGTACCCCAAAGTAACAGGCAAATCTGGTAACACTGGGATTTAGGCACCGAAGCCGGAACACCGTCCTGGAGTTCGGCGCCATGCCAGGAAAGCCAGGGGAGGAGGGGGTAGATCCATATGATTCCTCGTCCACCTGGCTGTGGGAGACCTCTCTCCCCATCCAGCAGGGTGGGAACCTGAACTGGGGCGACTGCTCTAAGCCCTGGGGTAAAAGCCGTAAGGAGCCAGCTGGAGCTCAGAGCAAGCCACTGGATCCGGCCTTGTGACAGCTGCTTGGAGCCTCTCCTGGGGCTGAGAGCCTGGGCACCCACCAGAGGTGCAGGGCCGGGAGTCATGGGCAGGGCTGTAGGGACCCTGGCAGCGAACAGTCAGGTGCAGCAGGAGCTCGCAGGGCTCAGCAGCAGCTGAGCAGGGTTGGGAAATGCCGTGGAAGCCCGAACGTTGGACGGCAGAGCCAGAAGTGGGAGTTGGGCACCTCTGTTAGAATTGTAAGATCCTGTGCCGGCTGCGGGCAGAGTTAAGGGCATTTGGGGACCATGCTCTGCATTTCCTGGCTGAATGGGTTTGTATTTCTTTTCAGGGTCACGGAGACAGGGAGTCTCTGGGGTCTGCAACACGTGCTGTGGGGATTCCAGCACCAGCCATGGGATATTTCTTACCTCACAGGGACAGGCACCTCTCCTCACCTTGAACTTCACTTTCATGGAGCTTTCTGCCTGGCGACCTACAAAAAGCCTGGATTCCGTCTGCCCCCAACCAGCTCCTAGGCTCGGAGGTGGGGGTTTGGCCCACCCCTAGGCCTGGGCTGGGCGCCAGCTCCCCTGGGTTTATCGCTGTTACACATCAGGATAAAACCCATGTCTCTCTAGACTGTCCGGGGGAGCTGGACACCCGGCTGCCATCTGGGCCTGGAAAATCTCCCCCCGTCTTTTCTCTCTAGAATTCTTCCTGCCAATTTCAATGCCCTGGGCTGGCAGCAGCAGGGCCTGGCACCGCAGCCACTGGGGCTCCGCACAAGACATTCAGCTGCCAGAGTCCACACGACTGTCGGCGTCAGCTCACAGATGGGAGCAGCCTTGGGGGGGGAAGAGGGGGCTGCGTGAGAAGGGGGGGGGAGAGCGTTTGCTGCTTCCCTGTCCCATTACAACGCCGCTGGTTCCTCGCTACAGGCAGGGCAGGAGGTTCCCGAGCTGCTGGGGGGCTGGACACCCGGTTCCCAGGTATCTGAATGGGAATCACGTGTTCCAACAGCGTCCGAGAAGGGAAAGTTTTTCTGGGCTTGGCAGCTCCTTCTCCTGGTGGAGCAGAGACCAGTGACCCACACAGACCCAGAGCTAAAACGTCCTGCTAAACCCTGCCCTGGGCCCATGCCCCGTGTCTGCCCCCTGCACCCCACGTGCTCCCCGCTCTCCGGGGCTCCTCCCGGCCCCAGCCAGCCGCCCCAGTGTCTGGGTCCAGCTGCTATGCCCCACCAGAAAGCCGGAGCTGGGAGCTAATCCACCCGTTCAGGGTAGGCGGTCCCTGACCCTGCTGGGACCCCAGTGCCCTGGGCAGCTGAGGGAAGCGCGGTGCCCCGGGACCCCAGCCAAAGCCAGGCAGACAAACCTGGGGAACTGCTTTATTCCAGCGAGGGGCTGGCAGAGACAGTCTCCGCCCGCAGCACCAAGGGCCTGTCTGCACAGTGACCTTCCTCCACTGTAAGTTACAGGGTCAATTTAAACTGTTTTCGTTAAACTTACACAAACCAACTGGCTGCTCTTAATTTAGGATCCCTGCGGGGGGGCTCAGCGGGGCTGGAAGCCCAGGATAGCTTGGAGGGGAGGTATGGGTATCAGGGGGCCTCAGCTGGGTTGGAGGCCCAGGGTAGCTTGCGAGGGGGGGGGTACAGGGATCTGGGGGGTACAGAGCTTGAAGACAGCAGGGCCAACGCTGCAGCCCAGCAGGGTGTTGGCAGCTTCCAGGCATTCGCTCAGCCGGGGCCCTGCAACGAGAAGAGGGTCGGGGGAGACATCAGTCTGGGGAACTGGGGGGTGGGAGGGAGGGGGAAGAAGACACCAGCCAAGGGACTGGGGGACAAAGGGCAGAGAGCTCACAGCCTAGGGGACTGATGTTGGGGAGCAGGGGGCTTGGAGCCTGTCTGTCCTGGGACTGGAGACCTCTGGGGATCTGGCTGGGGTGGCAGAGGCT